AATAAGGGGTCATATTTCTCTCTAAAAGATGGCTGGATTGGACGGCAGTTTCGTCTTTGTAAGGCTGTAAAGCCTTCTCATATTATTGTGGGAATATTGAAAACAAATCCTACATCACCCCAAATAAAATAGGTTGAATACTGCTCTTATTTAAATCCTACTAGTAGTTGCGAAACCCAATAAAGCCGAAACTCATTGAAGTATCCTCGCACTCCAACTATCCAGAAAGTTGGTAAAATTGCTAAATAAATGAGAAATATGGTCAATTCTACAGGTGGTAACTATTGAAATATTCTTTAGTATTAAAAACTTAGTCATCCTATATCGAATGATGTGATGTATGGACTGATGGTCCAATTTTCTCCCAATCAGATAAGCAGGTCCCACAATGCCATTTCCTTACATTTAGCCTTACCTCTTGAAAGGTTATTTCATCTGGGCTGGACTGCAGCCTCGGCCTCGCCAGAACTCGTCTCATCCCTAATCCCATCGAGACTTGATTCCGGGTTGTGAGAGCGTGGCATAGTTACCACTCCACTCTACTCCACTACATGGTCACGGGTGCCAGGGCATCAACAGGGCAGATGTGACACTCAAAGCAATCGAAACCTCTACCAATTCACATTTTTGTGGTGGGGCTGTCGATTAAGCAAACATCTGTCTGCAATTGCAATCGACGACGTCGTCAGGATACTCACGAGTCGGTATCAAATCTTGTTGAGGGAGCTGTAGGTGGAGTGAGGAGACGAGAGGAGAAAGAGGAGGAGGAGACGGAGGAGATAGAATGAGCAATGAAGTGACGAGCAAAGGAGGGGGAAGTAGAAGTAGGTGCAGGGAGGAGGGCCCTTTTGACCAAACTGTCCTGTATTGCCTCACCTTCCGCAGCCGACGTTGCCTCGAGTCTTCCTTTGGAGAGCTGACAACGGTTCTGAGACGCGCTGATGATCCGAATGTGCTTGACTGGCGTCTGCATTCGAAAGACCGGCTTTCGACGTCCAGTCTCCGCCAGAAGCCAAGCCGGTACAGTCCAGGCAGAGCGGTCACCGACAGGTCCGAGTTCGGGTATTGTGAAACGGGAAGAATGGCAACATTGCAAATTGATTGATACGAAGACCTTCATTTCGCATGGAAGTACATGTTGAAGAGATTGGTAGGTAAATCTTGCCAGAAGACGTCGGATGAGTCGCGTTGTACTGCAGCTGTTCGGCGTTAATACGGCGTTCAGGCCGATGCGGTGCGCGAGGCTTTCTTCAACGTTTCTGGAGAAGACGGGCTTAGCTTTCGTTCGTCACGTGACAAACATCAAGTCAAGAAGACTTGGTCTTTTACAACAATGATTGCCAGCTTGTGACGAACAAAAGCTCAACCCGTCTCTCACGGAACGTTGAAGAAAGTCTCGTGGACCGCATCAGCCTGAACGCCGTATTAACGCCGAACAGTTGCAGTACAACGCGAATCGTCCGACGTCTTCTGGCAAGATTTACCTGCCGATCTTTTCAAAATGTACTTCCATACGAAATGAAAGTCTTCACATTAACCTAATCTCAGGAG